ATTGACCTAAAACCCGACGCCCCCAAAACTCTACGCACCAAAATCTACCCAATATCAGTAAATGAGCAGAAAGAACTAGATCGATTCCTGGAAGATAATTTCTGGAAAGGATATATCCAACCGTCCAAATCACCGCTGACACGCCTAAATTTTGGCTAGACGTCTATGCTGTGAATTGTGACATTTTCACATATAGATTTGTATCAAGAGGACTGTAATTGAGACCCAGATTGACAGTCAAAGTCGATACTGAATCAGTCTAATAAGTTGAAGGGACCATATACCCATACTACTACAAGTTGGTCAGTTTACCCATCCCCGATACTACCTACGGATAGCAGTCTACCTGTTCGTCAAGCAGGAGTATACCAGACTCGGACTACATCCGAAGGATGACCATTCACGTATGACATACCAAGGGTATTCTTTTTGGACCTTACACTGGCAGGAGTTTGGAAGAACTTACTCAAGTGACCATGAACCGAGGATTGACTCGAAATGACTTTCTAGAACTCAGGAATTATCAAATACTCCTTCTAGAACGAGATCATGCATTAATCTAAAAGACTGCGATTTAGTCTAATAGACCAATCAAGTTGCATGGTTGAGTAAAATGACTAGAAGAACGATCGAAGTACTGCGAGGCTCCGAAGACATATCAAATGAATGTCAAAGAGTCTTGACGTAGAAAATATTGAAGAATACAATTAAATGAATACTATGCGTAACTCCCTTGATAGAGTATAGGCACAATGGGTGTCTATTGAAAGAGAGAAGCAATTAGTTTAATCCAGATGAATCAGATTAATAGGATTAGAATCGAGGAGAGCTGATTTGCCTCCGGACGAGGTGACAAACAATTGAAGTAAGTGTTGAACAGCAATGACAGTTAAACACTATTCGAGTCATTCTCTAAAAGCAATTAAATTAAATGAATAGTGAAGTACCTACCTATGTTTGGGGGTATACTAGAATCTTGGAACCAATATGGACCAAATAAGGACATGTAGATTCAAATTAAATGGTATCTGACTGAGTGTAGAAGTTTCCTTGCGGTTCCGAACGTTTATTGTATTAAATTAATTGTACTATGCGACTCTATATTCTGTATGTATAAATAGCGATCTGATGTATCTGGAATACAAGTGATTTTGGGACGACGTTGCAGTGCTAATCCATAAAAAGGAAAGACACACTCCCGCCAGACTGAAACCTCTTCGCTAGCAGCCATTCGGGCCCGGCACTTGTGAGTATAGGAACGTTGTGTTCTGCTCCTTGTGACTGCGAGAAGTATATCCAGTTGTTGGATATTCTTCGAACTTAGGATCAGTCGTTGGTCTTAAGGGCAAATCACACTGTGTGGTTGTGCCAGCACATAGTTCTAGCCCTCCGTAGGGGTCTGTGTGTTTCAGTTTTAATTTACTTTGATTCAAACCCCCAATTCTTGATATACCCAAATCAATACAAACCACAGCACAAATCGTGTTGAATCTACCTTGATCAAAGGAATATATCAAATCCTTAGAACAATTCAAATTGATTGATCAAAGCTTCTTACTTAGCTCTCAAAGCTTTGCGGAACCTTTGCCAACGCTACCCCTTGCTATTAAATAAATTTGATAGCAGTGAACTCGCATATTGTGTATTAGATTGGTTGGTTGGAGTGCACATTAGATTCCTTCCTTTCTCTTTCACACAAAAACGAGGCAAGCTCGTTACCGCTTTCCTCACCTGCCTTTTTTGTAAAGAAAAATGATGGCAAACTACGATTCATACAGGACTATCGATGTCTGAATGAATACACTGTCAAGAATTGCTATCCTCTCCCTTTGGTTGCTGACATCATCAATTGTCTATGACAAGCCAAATACTTCACCAAGTTTGACGTACAATGGGGTTACAATAACATCCGGATCAAGGAAGGCCATGAGTGGAAAGCAGGTTTCTCCACTAACCGGGGACTCTTTGAACCACTGGTCACGTACTTTGGCCTCATGTCATATGCATGCAATTCACCCAATATGCTTCCCGGCCTGGCCCGGAGCGGCCGGACTTCGGAGTAATGACCTTGTGACTTATTTATTATTCCGAGCTTTCATCGAGGTCTTATGACTACTGTATTTGGGATGTATATAAGCTAGAATACTTTGTACATTGTAGTCAAGCTTGAAATCAAGTGTACCACCTTATTCCAGTCTTTAATATCTTCTTTACCCTTTGCTTCCGGACTCCCGGATCATCAGGAACCCCATTTAGGCTGCTCATCCCAATCTTGCACTCTTGCCATAATTCCCGGGAACACCAACAGTGTATGAAGGGTGTTGCTAATAGCTTCACTGACGTCCCACTCCCAGTGTGTACTACAGGCCAGTACTCGGCTCCGGACCTCGGAGTTATCCCGGGCCATTTCCGGCCTATATCCGACCTCAGAACCTCTATAGTTACTGACCTGTAGGCACGGTCTTGTCAGTATTTCAAGCTTACACTTCATTACACTGTTCCTTCACCAAAATACCCGTTCATTATGTCTTTTGGCTCTGATCCTGAATCCTTCCTCGAGTATGCCTTATCGTTACCTGATCCGATTGGCCCGGACCCGGAAACTTCGGATTCGTCGGACCAATCTAGCCCATCTGACCACAATTCTGAACAAGAATCAGTGCAGTCCGGTACTAATTCCGATCCTGACCAGTCAAGTTATGACTCGGAATTTCCTGGCCCATTTGACTATGATTATCTTCATGAATCCTCTGACTTCGACTTGGATCACCCCGGCCCTTATGATCTCCATTACCTACATTCCTATCCTTTATCCTCAGCCTCAGACTCGGTTGAGTCTTTCCACTCGTTTGCCTCTGATAACTCCGAAGCACCGGAACTCCGGCCCGGTGATGACGGATCTGGTCATCCTCACCTCGGACCCGATGGCAGGCTTTTGGACTCTGAGAGGGAAAGGCGCAGGGTGCTTGGGTTGTGCTTTTATTGTGGAGGAGAACATATGAAGGTAGATTGTCTCAAACTGCAGGCCCGTACAGGACAGAACTACGATGCAGATAACTCTGAATCAGATGTTCCGGGCTCCGATGACGGTTCCGAGTAATTCCTAATTTTTTCTACATTTTAATTCCGAATTTTCCGACCATTCCCAAGTCTTAAACCGAGTTTTCCTTTCCTTTCATGATTTTCACTTATTTGACCTTACAAATTCCTTTCTTTCCGAACTTCGGCCCAATTTTTATGCCTTTCATGATTATTGATTGTTTGACATTATGATTTACTTCATTTCACTGCGGGGATCGATGTATTTCCTTGCCGTGGAAAGGCTGAAAATATAGGGAGGTTTGGTACATAAACCGCTCGATTTCAGAGTGGGAGAATGTTAAAATTTTTCTTCCATAAATAGAAGCACCTTATAGAGTTAATATTGAGTGATTAGCAACAATATTCTACAATGAACCTCTTGAAGGAAATTAACTCAAAATTTGTGCCGATTATTCAGACTTTAGCGGCCCCGTTTAATTGAATGTCATTTCATGGACTAGGGCAATCCTTGTCCCACTCCTTCTGACGACGAACAAAATTGTTTGACATTCCTATTTTCCACCCATCACTATCAACGTAGGCGTATAGATATCCCTCGCCATCCGCATCTGAAATCCCCCGCATCTCTCGCAAGCCAAAGCGCCGTTGTAGGTTTTCGAAAGATCGACGCATGGATACCGAGGAGGCAAAGAAAGAGAGGCGTCGATGCTAAGGTCTGCGGAGGGAAAGGGCGGTAGGTAGACGCGTTGAGATGAGCAGCAAAGCGAGGCGCAGAGAAGTCGGCTGAAACAGGCCCAAGAGACGGCCATGAAGAAAAAGCGCCGTCAACGAACGGTTTGAATCCGGAAGTTGCCTCGATGATGTCCTATAGACAAGCTATAGAGCGTGTACAACGATGACGGCGTGTGCAGTAATATGAGGTGCTCTATCAAAACACAGGACAGAATTAACTTTGTGAGCAGCCAGAGAGGATGAAGGGTGAAATTGAAGAAGTGCGAGAATTGCGACCTGCAGCATAGCAGTGCCATGCCGATGGGATCAAATAAAGGCAGATTTAAAATGATATCACCAACGATCTTGTGAAGAACGTTGACTTGCGTCTGTTTAAACGTTCGAAGACTCATCGATGGGCACGAGTGATATAAGTAAGAATGAGCGTAACGTTACGTTCATGGGGAGCAGAAAACATGAGATTGAGTATACATTGATTAATGGCAAGTCAAAGCGACCTCTCCCGGCGTGAAAAAGAAAGGATATAATGGAATATCTCGGGGAGTCTGGGTGAATCGAAGATGCAGACTCGGCGGATTCTTCTGATAGCTCAATCACAGGAGTTAGATTTTCGGGAAGTTCAGTAGCGGGTACAGGTCTGGAGTTGTACAGACACGGAATCCGATAGAACCCAAGGCGACGATGGTCTAGATGATTTCTTTAGTTCTTCATGCTGCAGATCGTACGTCTCAGCAACACTCCAACACCATTAATCACTGGGCTTACCTTTGCGGCGTTCACGACATCTGCAGGTTCTGTAGCGTCTTTGTTTTTGTATGTCCCCTCCCCATCTTTGATATCTACAGTTACTGGAACAGTCTGCAACGGGAACGTCAACCGGCACTTATACGTTGGATATGATCATGCTAATAGGTGTTTGAAGGTTATTTCTAAATGCGCCTTGGAAGGGACTTCTGGTGGCTGATCAAGACCGGCGGACAGTATCGCTGTCTTGATTTCGAAGGCACAATCTCAATGTCCAGCTTTGCAGGGAATTCCTCCGTTCCTGGTACCAGCTTGTTGACAGACCATCCTGCGGGGGATGCAGGAGACTCTTTGATGGGATAATCTAGGCCTGAAGTTATTGGGCTGCAGAGATAGTGGGGCTTCCTTGTACAGATGGATGCTGTGGGGAATGTACTCGAAGACTTTCTCTTTTGAGGTAGGTATTAATTTGTTCAATCTAGATGGGCATAAGCCCTTGGTCTAGAGATGTAGTCTTGGCAGTTCGACGCGGATTGTTCATCATCGACCTGGAAGCACCATTCAAAGTTCCGTGTTTCCTTCCTCAGGGCGGAACTTGGGATGTGGCTGACGTGCAGTGGAACTGTTGCTGATAATTCTGCTAGATTGATATGGAATCTGTACATGTCCAGAAAGACATCCAAATAACATATCCTTCATTCTCACTACCGAGCCATTACCGATATCAACTGGCACACGACTGAGAGGGACACAGTCATGAGTACTGGGATAGATTCCTGAATATGGGCCTGGGACATGCGTGAACCTCCGTAAATCAATTTTTGGTTTGGGTGCGTTCAGCTCACCTGGGACCCTGATCAATTGGAACTGCCAAAACTCTCACATCCTCGCTTCCTCGCATGCGGACAAGGTTCTCATCTGGGACCGAAGGAAAGGCAGTCTGCCTGTTGCGACAATTGATGCGCACTCATCGCAGTTTTTATGGCATCGATTGGTCGCAGACCAAACCAACGGAAATCGTAACGTGCTCGTTAGACAAAACCATCAAAGTCTGGGACTCAAAAACGATGACTTTGAGAACCAGGATTAAGACCGGGTGCCCTGTTTGGCGTGCACACGGTCTTCCATTCGGTCGTGGTGTCCTTAGTCTCGCACAACGCGGCGAAACTGCCTTGGAGATGTTCTCTCGAGAACCAAGGATTAGGCCCTGGTACCTCACGAGTTCCGGTAGATAGTTTCCAAGGGCATTCTGATGTCGTTAAGGAATTTGTCTGGAGGAAAGGTGCTAATGATACTGTTTTTCAACTCATCACTTGGTCCAAGGAGCGTACTTTGGATTCTGGCCCGTGGACTCCGATATGATGCGGGTTTGTTCCAATCGACAATCGCAAGATGAACGAATAGCTGATAGGACGTTGTACAGAAAGTAGGTTATTCACGGTCTGGCAGCAATGATTCCCAACATCAGTAGCAACCAGCTACTTCCGCCACTACGGAATCTGCTCCCCGTACAAAATCATTCCGCAACGCAACGTTCTCCGACTCCAATCCAAACACAGACAGCGAGAACAACGACTCCCACACAGTCAACATGGAGTATACTCCCTTGATGAAAGATCGTGCATGAGCCCAAATAACGCACGTCATGACAAATTTACTGACTTTCCCTCGACATCGCGGTAGACGGCAGCCTAATTCGTTCCGGAGCTCAACAGGATTGAATGATTTTGGGGAAGAAGGCAGCTCAATGCCTTGAGTGGGGACAGGAGGTGAGAAAGGCGCTATAGATATGAGAAGCTGCTCGATTTTGGATATGTCTTCTTCCCTATTCACATCAGGACCTTGATTGCTGACACTATAAGATGGAGTCCATCGCGATTCTGGTCTTTCGACTTCATTGATGTGAATGCGGAGGTCGGAGTTATCTCTAGTGGCAATCCCAACATTGGGGGAATCGGGCATGACTTCCACCGATTTTTCGACGTCGATCTGCGCTGATTCCGAAGGTGCCGTCAGTGCTGGCAATTGGATTTCGTGACCAAGTGACGGCTTTTTCAAACCAAGGGTATTAGCAGAAAATTCATCCTGTGAGTCAGCAGTGGTCAGCAGTGTCCGTGGCTGCAGGAATCTGCGAATAGTGCTTCGGGTACAGCTGCTGGAACCGCTTCATTAGTGGGAGCGTCACTATCGTCAATGGCCTCATCTCGAGGAACTTCTGCGACTCCAAAACAGGCCGTTCTTCCATTTCAGTAGACTGATTAAGAGAAACGTCTGAGACGGCCTCTCCCGACGACATGAAGTGAATAACAGGGTCTGTCGAATGGTCCTTGACGGCTGATCCAATAAGGGATGTTGCTGGATCAGCGTTCGAAGATTCTTCCGCTAGAGGTGGCGAACAAAATGTCGTATCCAAGATGGAAAGCTCTGAGTCGAGGTTCGCGATCATACGAGTATTGACAATGGAGTTGGCCTGTATAGATAGAGAGAGAGAATTTCGCATTCAACGGAGTTTGACTCCGTGGAATTGCGTTTGAGCAGATTTCGACTTTGGCAGGACGAGTGAGATAGACAAGACAGAATGCTGTCACGTGTAATGATTTGAAAGACCCAATTAGATCAGACAGAATAGATAATTCAAGATAAGGATTGAAATATTAAAAACGTGACACTGTCACTGCCGAGCGCTTGGAGACGACTCCGAGACCGACTTAGTACTTGATCGATTTCCCGTATCTCGAGGTCATTATCGAGTACAACTCGCATATTACCTCGCCCTATTCGAAATCTTGAGCTGGACATTGGACTCCGTAGAAAGCCTGAGGTTTACGCGCGTACGTTGACGAACGCTTGGTTAACTACTCATTGAACTGAAGCCTAACCTAGCTCCCAACTACTGAATTTTCGTCATCCCTGTACACGCGATGGTCAACAATTCGAACTCACATCTGGTAGAGCACTGTTCACATGGTTACAATTCTCAATGGATGACACTTGTCCAGCCCGAAACTCCACTGTTGTCTATCCTTGATCGCAGCGTTTATAACAATCCTTTCACCGGCGCTGACGCATCGCTAAAAATGTCACATCCTGTAGTCGTGGATAATCCGGTGGAGGCGTATTCGCAGCATAAGCTAGAAACCAGGCGACAGGGCATCATGGTATGCTGATATGCTCGTCCTTTGTCAAGCACACCCCTCACTTTTTCCATCTTAAAATAAAGTAAATCTACATGGAGATAGTGTCGCCTTCAAGCACATGGTTGAGGTAGGTCATAAATCAACAATTGCGCGCAAGTTCTCTTGATCACATCTATTTAGCTATTGGAAAAGTTGGAATTCGAAGACACGTTTGACAATGAAGCTCAAGTATTCCCCAGTCCAGCTGTGAAACTTCCTTGGATTAGTCCACACACTTCCAAACTTCTCAACAATCCAAAAGCACAGACGTAATTCAACATACAATGTCATTGATCTTATGTTGTGCGGCACTCTTCCTCAGTATTACTACATAGCATTTCTGGAATATAAATTTGCAAGATTACATTCTCTTTGAATTCTTTCTTGGTTACATCGTCAGGTACAGATAAGGATTGTACCGAAAAATCAAAAAATCGAGTCGGGAATCGAAACAGTCTCCTCGTCGAGAAGCTGCCCTGTGACTATAGTACCACCTTTTTCATATACAGAAAGGTTGAACCAAAGATCGGGATAAACTCCTTGCTCGAATCGCTTGCGCTCACTGCGGATTGCATTCCTGCAGTATGTGATCATCTCTGGAGAGACAATGGGAGGGCGAGACATTTTGAAGGATATGGCGGCTGGTTTAAGAGAATTATACGGGGTAGCCTTTGCAATCCAAGAGTCAGTATCAATTCCCTCTTCCTTCAAGACCTCTGGTAGACCTTCCTCTCTCTCAGAAGGAGCTAATGAAGAATGACACTTAAGCAACTGTATTTGAAGCCATAGAACGAGACTCACGGATAAATTTGAATACTTCATAATACCTTTGGAGGTGATCGATTACATCCTCGTCGCTGGTGGGGTTGTCGAGGTCAAAATAGCAAGGCGACTCCACGAGTGCCCCTGTCCCGCCATGGATGATCATCCTCCAAATGTATTCTTCCGCAAGAAGGCTCTCGATTGCACCGAATGAGATGGAAGAGAGTCTGAAGCCAGTCGCTCGTACACCCTTGTCCTCCACAATCTTTTCCAGACCTTCGATTATCGGATGTAAGAATATTTCCTTGCCATATGCAAGCCTTTCCTGGTAGTGCTCGTTTCCTCTGGGAAGCGAGGAAGGAAAAGATCAGCAAAGCGATCCTCCCACTCTGAAGAAACGATTCGGAGACGCGTCAGAAACGCTTGACGCCTCAGATGGCCGTTCATTGTCAACTGAGCAATCAATTTCTGGAAAGATATAGGGCATAATTTGATTAAAATTTATCACTATTTATCGCTTTTCTTTCGCAAAGATATATATCAAGCCAGACTGAACAGGATTTTCTACACGAACTGCCCAAAACGTCTCGTCAAGCCCAAGAATGAGCCGTTCAGTGTATCCATGTCCGAAACAAAATGAAAGTACTCCAGGGCTTGGTAAGCTTGCCAGCGTCTTTGATTATCATCGACCTTTCCCTCTCTTGAACTGTCCGCCGGAGTTTTGAATAACGTTCCAAGGTGGCAATGTCTCCATAAGCACTGTTACGATATCATTAATATTCATGTCTATCGAATGTCATCGGATGTACCCATCTTTTGAACATGCGAGGACATGGCCTCATTAAAAAAGCTATCTCCTCCATAGGTATGTTCGCCGTGTAAGCAGAGAGCTCCTCCATCAGAGATATGTTCCAACTCCCTAAAGCAAAGTGCAGAATTTGTCTGGAGTGACTGTGGAAGAATTTCCTAATTCAAGCAAAATGAATCCCATGAAATAGAATACGAGTTGGCCAAGGTTACCCGAATTCTGGTCGCATGGCAGCAATTGCCTGGTATACTTCATACTTTTCTGCCGCTTCGGCCACGCTCAATAGTGAGAAGAAATCGATGTGCTCCAGGGTAGGTCCATGATGGTCAGTGTCTGCTGCGACGTATTGAAATAGAACCTTCAGGACATCAGAAGGTTCGGAAAGCTGCACGTCCGCTTCGCTGGAAAGAATAGCAGGGGGAAATCCACCAGCAGCAACATCGAGTTGCTCTTTGAGCATGATGAACTTCCTGTTATCGATTGATCGAAATACTACAGTGTTAGAACAGACTGCGTACGTAGTCAGATTTTCCGCAAATCAAGGATTAAAGACTATCAGTACCGTCTGCGCCTGTTTTTGCCTGTATGATTTCAGTGGGTTTGGCATCCATTGCGATTGCGCTCGTAGGTACACTAGATATTCGTGAATCGTGAGTACCAAACATTACAGAGTGTACTCACCTGGATAAGATCATACACCAAAGTTATCTATCTTCTTCCGTCTCCGTAAGGTCGTGCTAGTAAATGACTCTATAAAAAAGGTAATGAGTTGCGATTGCGATTGGGAATGACGACTGGAGGAATGAAGCACTACAGGGCGTCAAACATACCCTACGGTAACGAACCTAGCCGATGTCACTCAGCTCATTTAGTACATATATCAAAATTCTGATCCCATGTATTCTCGTTCTAGTTAAGGACTATGTTGGGCCTATGCCGATCCAATTCACTCCACTGCTTCCGTTCAAGGCACGGCGCCAGACCGATGCTTTCATTCATTCTGCCATTGCGCCAGTTATATCTAACGCTATACGATACAATACAATCTATCTTGTGCTTACGCCAGGAAATTTCCTCTGTTCCAAAGTTCTTTGAGGGAGATCATCAGATAAAATTTGAGGTTCTGAAAATTCATACACACCTGGCAAGATCGGCAGGGAAAACTAATTTCTTAGGTGCACAAGGGCGGACCATCTCATTGACAAATCCCGTCCCACCTTTTGCCCATCCAGGCTCCTGCTTCTCGAGCCATTCTGCATCGTAGAAGTTAGCAGGGAGCCCAACAATGTATCTGCTCTTCGAACTCTTGTCATTATTATCCACACGGAGACGGGGTGCAGCGCCTCGCGTGAAACCAAACTGGGGTCCTTCAAGAGAGGTCCGACCCTCGAGATGACAATAGTCCAAAAGCCTGACCCAATTCTTGAGCTGCTGACTTCGCCAACATGGCTCCTTGATGTTGTAGCACATAGTCGCTTCATCCATGTCAGGTTCCTCTTCATCAGAAGACATCCCTGCAACCCCTAGTTCATCGAAGTCGTCAAGATAGGGTTCGAGTGCTGGAACTGCAAGTATCACGTTCCTTTGTCGTTGGAACAACTATGCAGAAGAAATCTCGTATCAGCATTGATTGTAAGTCGTTGAGTAAAAGCTCACAGTGTTTTTCCTTTGCCATCTCTTTGCAAATATGGCATGTGGTATCTTCTTATCCTCTACCATTTTCTGTTTTTCCAACCAGATTCCACGAAGTGTTTTCAATCGTATGAAGAAAGCCTCACGCAAGATATCGCAAGCTTTGATGTTGGGTATGGTGATTAGCCTCTTCTTCACGAGGATATCTACGAAAACATATGATGCGCCTTTGTTCCACGCTGATTTAGAAACACCTGCAATCCAATATCGGAAATTGTCAACAGTGCACGGGCGTGCAAGTGGATCCGTCTTGAATTTTTCAGCAAATTGCTTGGCTTCTTCATCGGAAACCTCATTTTTGTAGAGGTCTTTCCCCTGCATCACTTCGTTGAACCATTGACGAATGGTCTCCTGCCAAAGAACTCATCATGTTCGTTGAAGACAGGCCATAACTGTACACATGCACCTTGTTTTTAAGCTCTTGCTGTGGCCGATGCTTTATGGCTCCTGAACGAGGACTTGCTTTCTTTTTTGTGGCATAACTGAAAGGAGTTTCCTGGGTCGAATCTCCCGAGCCATCAGTGTCAGCATGATTGTCATCCGGCTTGCTTTTTTCATTTGTTGTGGTGCCACTGTCACCCTGACGGCGCTCCTCTTTGTCGATGTCCATATCCTCCTGCCGCTGTTTGCCCTTGTTCTTGACTGATTGAATATCCAATGCCTCCAGAACGCGATCCAATATGGTCGAATTATGCTGAACGCTATCAGTCAACTTATCGATTTTCGCATCTTGCTTTTTGACGACTTCAGCATTTGATGTCCGTATACCATCGTAAAGCGTATGCATCATCTTTGTTTGATGTTCAAGCAGTGTTTTCAACTGATGGAGGGTTTAGAATATCTGGGAACAGGGAGCACGATATACTTACCATGTCTTCGCCGTTCTCTTGATCTTGGTTGAAGATGGGTTGAGAAGACACTGCACGTCTTTTCCTTTTGAAAGGTGGATGCTGACAAATTTTAATATACTGCGTCCAATACATTCACTCAGTGTTAACATTACACACCTGTAGTGATACGTCGCTTCCAAATTGTGCGGCCGTTGGGGTGGCATCCGGATCAGCCATTGTGGCATCTCAGTTGCCTGGCGTTTGGGGAGGGTTTGGAGTGGGAGGGTTGGGAGGGTTGGGAGTAGGAGGCTGCCATTGTATCGTTGAAGCACTTTGTGAAACCCGCACCGTGAATGGACTTTGCGGGATCTGTACTGTGAACTGCGGCTCCTGAGGTATAGATTGCGAAGGAGCGTGCGTCAAAATCTGGGATGGAATCTGCAATGGATCCTGGGATGCTGTACTTAGGCCAGGTTCCATATTCTCATCCAAAATTTGGATGTCCATAGCAGAAGATTCGGAGTCACTGGTATCCTCAGCATTGCCATGTACGCCACGTACGACAGGAAGTAGCATTTTGTGACAAAGGGCGACAAAGAGTCAGATTCTCAGCCGTGGTTCAAATAATCATGTAGCCTTATCGGTGGATCAGTTGGGGTTCATTTAGCCGACGCGTATGTCGTCAAATTGATGGAAGTACATAGAACTGTTAGCAATCACCACAAGGTGTCAGTATGAAAGATGTCAATTATATTCGGTGTCTAGAGAGGCATACGTAGCCTTGAGTCAAGTTGATTTCTACGCGCTATCTAAACAGGCGCTATTTAGTGCGAGAGCTACTTGCTAGAAGTATTACTTCTGCACGGCATTAATGGAATAATGGTTTCAATCAGAGTAGTCTAAAGGAGTTCTAAGTGGACGAACAAGAGGAACAACAGCGCAAAACTTACTTGACGCAGTAGAGTTTTCAGAGTTTCAGTGATCTTAGAAGTCTGAACAAACATAGACGGGAAAATAGAAGAAAATTGTTGGATCTTGAACACCAGAGGGTCATGATCAATCACGGAAAAATCTCGAAAGTTTATTTATGGACGTACCTGGTCTTCCAGAGAGATACCACTTGGCCTACCACTGCAAGCTATAGCTTTGACATGCGCAAGGGTGATCTGCTGGTCCACTTCGCAAATTTGGACGTAGAGATCGTCAAACGCTTGGATGAGAAGCTCACAAGTTGTGAGTGTACACGGTAGGAACATCTTGATTTTAACTAGTGGTTGTTCGACCCGAGCGATCTAATTCACGGAGGTATAAGTGAAGATGTACCATCCATGTCGAACGCCACACGTACCTCAGTCAATAACTTTCTGACCAAAGTCTTGAGTTTCAGAATTTCTTTGTAGAAGAAGCAGAAAGACGGTGGTCGTTCCTGGTGCGTCAAAGATCAAGCATGATTGGTACATGTCAATTGGATGTGCGGACATACCTCAACAAATTTATAGCTTTCAAGACCTGGGTAACGCTGCGAAAAGACACGTTTGTGCTCGTGGACTGCTGCTTGCAGCATCTTTAACAGACTTTGGAATTCTTCATCGAGTGAACAACAGTCAAGACTCGCTGTACTTGTTGGATGAAGTGTGTGGCGAGTGTCCATGTATATTGCAGAATTAAAGAAATTGGGAAGGATAGGTCTCTACCCGAATGATCCCTTTCAGTTTTTATAGCAGCTAGAGTAGTGGTAGGACGTACAAACAACAAAATCATTATGGCGAGATAAAGCAACTATCACAAACATGACATTCTAAAGGAACATTCAAGCATCAGACCAAGGCTTTTGTCGTCCATTGGGTATCTACGTTCGGTTTAGAACCGGACTAGATAGAGATAGAGAGTAAGTAGTGAATAAGTCACACATCACATGCAGTCAATAAGAAATAAATCACGCTACTTCGAACTAGTTTGAACTCTTCATGACACCGCTCGGCACTCCACAGAGTCAAACTCTGTTGGTAGTACTAGTACTCCTCTTTTTCACTCTATAGGACCATTCAACATTTCACCTATCATATCCGGGGAATTCAACATCGTTACCGATCCGTCCTTTATTCCCAATCAGGCTAAACGTAACTGGAAAAGGGGGTCAAAACAAAAGGAAAGGAAAGGTCGAGGAACAGCAGGAAACAGCCGGGGCCCGAAAGCAAGCTCTTAAGCTATATCAGGACGCTGGTCATTACCTGCACCTTACTCAAGACCATCAATGTCTCTTCCCCAGGTGCGCATTGTATCGAACGAGGCGGCTGAAATCGCTCAGTTTGTGCCACAAATCGCGTCTGCTTCAAGTGAAATAGAACACCTTCGCACCGAGATAGCTAGTTTGGCGCAACCAATTCAACAATTTAACAAGGTATAAACTCAAATCTTTTGCTGCGTGTATATTATTCAACATATTTCGAAGAATTTTCCTTATATTCGACCGTTGGAAGAGCTGAAGGCTCTACACTCTATAATTTCTGCATTATTAAACGAAAAGAGGGAAGATATACAGCAGCTAGAGAAGCAGCTGCTATATTTGCAAGCTTCACAGTGCTCTGATAGTTGACTGGTCAGCTGCATCCCTTTCTCTCAGAACGCTATATTCATTCTTCTGTCTCTACTAACTACAGAATTTCGCATGTTCATTTTCATTGGATATCACCTACATATTACCAAGAATTGTCGAATATACATCTGTTCATGTTGGTCTCACATCAGGGACTCCAATGTGTCGTTGCAGTTAACGTCATATATATTCGATTAAGTGTGGTTTGAGGAGTCTTTTGAACAGATCTAGAGGGACAATGTCGTCTCACTGTGCCCTAGCCGAACTTCAATATTGTTCGCATCAGTCGGTACTGACAACTTGCTCGTGTCAAGCCTCGTGTCCGAGATGTGACTTAGAATTTTCCTTACCACTATAACAGAACGGCCACTCAGGACCATGAAAACTTCTTATACTCAGTTGGGCACGATAGAGGCCCCTACGGATTGTGTACATGCATTGGCATTCTCAGTAGACGGACGTTATTTGGCGAGTGTCAGTAATGATAACATGGTACGCGTCTACGGCCTAGAACGTGGATTTGCGACGACTTGGGAAGAAAAGGGTGACTGTCCTTTCACCGCTGTCACATGGAGAGATGATGCTCTCTTTGTTGGTACCATGGACGGCGATGTGATATGCTTTTACCCAACTACGGTATGTGACATGTCCTCAATGTTTCGATAAATGTTCTGAAAACAAAACCAGAGGTGGATTCGTCGACGGAAAAGTGAAATCATCACTAAGATATCTCTTTCGCTGAGCTATCTCTTTTCACCTCACAGATCAAACCTGGGTGAATTCCTTGGTAGGTATCTTGTCCTCTTGACGCTCTGCATACCCTGCTGACCTGGTATGATAGGCCTATATTGATTTAGATGGTTGCTGTCGAATGATAGCCACTGGTGACGGGAATCGCGAACAGCGCACAAGGATCATACTGTGGATCGAGGATAAGAAGGACCTCGCGTTCAAATTCCCCAAGCTCTGGTATATCATGCCAAAGCTAGTGAGTTGTTCTCCTAACAGAAGTTCTAGTATGAGACAATCTACAGTTCGTATCTATCCTGAGGATTGGGCGGATAGTCCTCACCGTGAAGGGGGTGATCTTTGCGTTATTGCTGTGGTCATTGCCTTTGTGGACAGAAGCAACATCAAAGCAGCTTTCAGGGTACTTAAGTCATCTTCTCCTGCGGCACCGTCCACTTCCCCGTCTCCTGTGATACCTGCTACCACATCGTCACCTTTTTTGACAAAAGTCACGGAATTGTTGGACACCTTGGGAGAGTTACTGGTGCGTGTTGATTGTCCTTGATTAGAGCGGATGGATGACGAAAGAATATACAGGCATAAACGAACTTGCGATAACTTAAATAGCCAGTTGTAAAAGTCGTCGTACTTCACGTTTTTGTCTCATAATATGGAAAGGAAAGCTTCAAAGATGGACTAGTGAACTATAACGTCTAAGTCTAGGGGTTGCTTACTGCTCGATGATTCTTGCGGTCGAGATATGCTTTGGTCATCACGTCACATCGATAGATTTTTCGGACTACAGAGTATACATTGCAACTATTCCTCATTGGTGGCGGTCGTACGACGCATAGCCGAGAGCTGTCCTGAATTATCACGAACATCCCTTATAAGCTCTTCCACAAATAATTCCTTTTCCATCTCGAGGTCGCTGGTTCTGTCTCGAGCAGTTGCCGCGGAACGCTCAAGAACTCCAGCAAGACACTTGTAAAGCGCAATCTTGACGTCCAACTGAAGAGTTCGAGTCTGTTGCACAATCATGACCTCCTTCTGTGCAACGGCCTTCTCTCGCTGCGCAAGGACAACGAGTCGGGTGGTCCACGGAAAGTATCCGGACATCCAAGAATACGTTTGCGTCGTCATATAGCAGAGCTTTGTTGATCGAAGTTATCAGTTCTGACAGAAACATGGTACGGAGTTTGCAGCTACTCACCACTTTATAGGTGCAACTAATGAGTATCGTGAACCCGAGAATGATGCTCAATTCAATAAATGCCTCTTCGCGTGTCCTATCCGCAAACACACTAAATAGACGTGATGCAGGACCGTCGGGACCATGCGGATGACCAGGATCAGGTAGGAGCTTCAACAAGAAAGAAAGAAATTTGTTCATGAGACTAGCCTGGCTTGAAACCCCCATCTGTGAAGATGAATACGTTGCGGTGGAAGAAGCAAGCTCGGAAGACATTGGGGTCTAAGATATCCTCAAGTTTTTCCTACCACCTCATCAAATACAAATCAATTCATTGCTCGAGGCAAATGTTTGACGCGAGCCACGATATATCTGCGTGTAGCAACATAGTTATAATATGTATACCTTTCTATCCAATGTGCTAGCTTCGAAGCCATGTATATGGCTAGATATGTCGGATCCTGTGCTACCAATGCGCACGTTTATGCCATCTTCGTTCCAATTTCAAAGTAAATGGCTGTCTACATATACATGAGGCTACCCCACAATGTCTCTTCCAAATACTGCAGTTTTGACCAACGGTATTATGACTAGCTCGACCTGTTTTTGCCATCGATAAGCTCCAGCCGGGCTACATTAGCAAGCACCCCTGCAATGCCCTGCGACTTGGCAAGTACTCGTTTAATCTCGCTAATACTCTCTATTGTTCTCTTTTTGGGTTTAGCTCGAGGGCCAGATTGATGTGATTTCCTGATCTCGATTCTGTTATTGAAATCACAAATAGTCTTGAAACAAGTCCTGGAAAGGAATATATTGGGTTATACATTTTACGAAGAAGTACATGTAGTTGGATCCTCAATGAGCAAACTAAAATGTGATAAAGTCTTCTCAAAAGTGGAAAATGGCAGCAATGTACCGCGACATGTTATCAAGGCCAACTTGCCCAAGTAAGGTTCATGTCTAATTAAATCAGTCATGTATGGAGAACCTGCATCGCCCGGAATATCAGGTGTTCAACTTTACCAAGTTTGCGGCCTTTCAACAGATAGAGCGAATACAGGGTTGCATATCTCCATCAGCCTCGATTTCATACAGAATTTGTGACTAAAATCTTCCTCATTCACGAAGAAATTCCTATTTTCTGAAGTCGGACTGTTTTCATAAGTCTCTATTCGTCTGGGCGTTGAATGATGTCGGAACGAAACGCTATGAGAATGAAGGAAAGACTCACCCTGCTAGAAAATGTCTTAGCATTCTCAGAGAAACCTATGTACCATTTTCACTTTCCTGAGGGCCACTGGAGCCCTAAACTTTTTGCAAAAATCTTTTTTGTCGATGCTAAGTGACGACGAGTTTAGCTGGATGATTTGTAAACTGGCCAGCACGCACGTTGAAATGACTGTTCGCTTTGTATGACAAAATGATTGATAAAAACATTAGAAAAAATTAAGAGACTAAAACGTCAAAGAGTCGTGTCCAGAGCGTGCTGAAGTCTTTAAGAAGCAGTTCACAAAGATAGATCCTTGTCGCAATTTGGTTGTTTTCACTCAGCCTGCTCTGCATTTCGATATGGTTTCTTCATCTCGAGCCCAGTCTCGTTCCTCCAGGAATGGCACACCCGTTGCAAGGAGACGTCTTTCTCCTAGTCACACCTTACTTATTACTCCGTTCAACGGAGGTATCATGCCCCGAGAACTTGATAAGGTAAAATATTTGAAGTCGTATGTTTTATTGGAAATAATTTCACACTTTGCTTCCGCAGGTAGAAGGGTCAACAATGGGTCTCTACTTTGGAATGGGTCATGCGATAGCCGAGAAGAAGAAGTTTCCGTCCATCCTTTCAAGCCGCCACAAGCACCAACGGTTCATTGAAGTTCATAGTGGATTTTCATCAGACACAATCGCAGATGACATCTACAAGCTGAAAGTCATCGTTGATCAAAGACATTACTACGTCTGTGGGACATACGATCAAGGATCTCCCAACAATAACGAACTTCTGAAAACGTACGGCGTGAGGGAGAAATTCAAGGGCGAGATCGCCATATTCTTCTACTCTGTCTATGAGCCGGAAAGGTTCTTAGATTGCGTGCCTAGGTATGAGAATAACGAGAGGGATGAAATAATCAAACGAGTACTCACCGCGTAAGTAAAGATTTTGTCAAGTCCCGGGGTCATGCAGTTCCTAACGCTCTTATCACAGGTTCTCGAGGAACGTCGGAGATCACATTGAAAAAGGAACTCCTCTGAAGCACATCGTTAGGGGTTAGGCCCTTGCTTTCCGTTTTGATCTGTAGTAGAGTGCTAGTAGCTCGTGACCTATTTCTCCACCTCATTCTTTTACCTATGCACCTCATTTCCTCAATTATAGTCGTGTTGACCACGTCTCACCATGCCTCCTTCACCATGCCATCCTTTTCGTTGTATTTATTCTGTATGCCCACAGTTTTGTTTGTTAGCTTTCCATTCAAAAAATTGAATACACACCTTACGCTATCCTGGCCTATCAGCTACATCGTTATATTTGTTTGAAGGTCCTACAGTTTTGTCATCCTTTTCAGCCATCATTCCTTACCTACGTCACCTAACATCCAGTTGTTCTTTTTCACGCGAAGTTGGGACTTGAGATCTTTAGAATTTGCCCAGAGTTCTTGTCCGGGTGTTGAAGGCCTCCAGGCTTGACATATATGATCTGTGCTAACTCCCAGTTTCTAACCTGGAGCAGCTGCGAGAAAGCAGTACTAGTAAAGATTAATGTTCGATGGAGGTCGAATGTTCAAGCACGTGGTGCACATAACTTAGGATTTTCTGAATCCTGAGTTCGACAGTGGCACAGTGCTCTCTAGCTAGATCGCTGTCAGGCTTCTTTCTGGTCAAACTGGACTTGAAGCGCTGAGACAAATACAAATAGACGTGTTTAGTAAACTCATTGCAACATCGTCAGCATCAACCCTTCTTCTGGTGTCACCGGAATTTGACGATGTCCGAAGAGACCTTCTTACCTCTCAATCCTCAATCATACCACCGAAACGCAAAAGTGTACGTCCAACTCATGGAAAGTGAGTATTTGTTTGTAATGAATAGCATATATTTCCTAATGCTGTTTGATTATAGAGGCGACTTGTATGCTTGCGACGTCTCAGGAAACTGACCTATCCAGCTTCCATGCACTGATAGACAACGACGTCTTCACTTGCCTCAATCATCGGCCACACAACTTTCCCATCGTGCCCTCCAGAGAGCAAAGTCTGAATCCTAGTCCAAACTCAGCCACGCTCCCTGATTTCTATACACCACGCTGGGTGATTTCCTCGATACCTTTCCTGGGATTCGCGCCCAGCAGCAACCCATTCAAATTCCACTTCTTGAAATGCCTTGACCATGGATTCAGTACCCTACCAATTGAAAAAGACGGCCTGTCAAAAACTTACGCGCTCAGTTCGTCACTACAAGAAGATTGGGACTCGTTAGAGAGAAATATGCGCGCGTTTCTACGTGCCTGTATGAAAATCAACTGACTAGCAATTCCTGACGATCTTCGCCTTTGGCCACTACCAAACTTTTATGGGTATCATGCACGTTGGAGAACGGAAGCAGAGGCGCGTAGTGCAGGAATGCGATCTCGTCAAGCATTTATTCCTTTGATTGCCTGTATCTCTTTCTTCCTTCAAATGCTGTATCATTTGGAGAATAAATGGGTTGATATTGTCGCGTTGCACATTCCACCTAACAAGCCCGATTCTTTCTTGGGAAAGAGACAGAAGGAGTATGCGGAACTTCGCCGGGGACCTGTCCCTGCGAAGTGGGAATGGCAAGAGCTACTTCGTAAAGAAACATCAATCAGCTCTGAATGGCTTGCGTATTTTCATCAGATTATGGATATTCCAATGGTCGGTGCATTTGTCGATGTGCACAATTCTGGGTGTCTTCCCTGGCTCCCTGTGTTCCTTGACTCCAATATGCCTCTGATGCTATACTGGGGTCAAATCCATGATTGGTCTGTCCCAAAATTCTTCAATTTCGTGATCCCGTTTCCCAATCCCATCACGTTTCCGATTCCCAATTCTACCACGGTTGACATGCTTTCTGCAACAAAGACTTCTTATCCGCCACCATTATCAGAAGACCATTCCTTCAACAAAACCGAAGTATCTACTCACAAGCCTAAACTATGTTATCCACGTATCACTGGCAGAAGTCTTCCCCGAAACAACGAGGACCTATTCACATTCATCCAACGCAGAGAAGCCCATAGACTCAAAGTCATTGCATCCGAGGCTGCATCTGAATGTCAGTCTCGCTTACAGCGAGAAGAAAATGCTAGGAGAGATCGACCTCCAGGTAGAAAAGGTGCTCGTGTCTATTACTGGGACCTTGTAGAAGGGATCAGGGTGCGGACAGCTGTAGGAAGGAGCAACTATGAGGATATCTGGGAGAGATATGGCCCAAGCCAGCGGCGTTATGATTCCGTTGCTGATGAATGGGAGATTTGCACGGACCTGGATCCTGACGGCGGTTGTGATTTAGACTCCCTTGAGGATGACCCCAACGATGATTATTTTATCTCTATGTCCTTGCAATCAAATGAGGAAGCGGGCCATGATGTCGGCCCCGCTTCCTCCTATGCCTATATTGCTCGTCTTCATCCTAAAAAGGACTCGCCGACGGTACCCATATCCTTTTTAGAGGCCATCGAAGACGTTGCCCACCATAGATTCGGGTTTCTCAAACGACCTATCGAAGACAATAGAGAAGTCGTGGTTCTACCTAAAGTTTGGAAGAAAGTATTGGGCCTGCTTGGATGTGGACGCCCCCCTGTGCCTGATGGACCGCACAATCACAATCACATCAAGCTACAAATAATCAATCTTGTCATGCAATTGTTAAATGCAGTCGATCTACGACATGCACCCCAAGAATACGATTTGGCTATCAGGAATGGGCTCATGAGACCTCAGATCCCATTTGAGGTTGATGTCTTAACCTCGTATCACGGATACCATTTCTTGATACAGGTGCAGGATGCTACAGACAATGAGCCATATCTAATTGCATTACGCAGCGCAGCCACTGTTTTGGAAATAGCTCGTAGGAAGTGGGGTCCAGGAACGGTGGATATTATCAAATGCTTAATTGAAGAGGGCCTTGCTTTCAATACTCTGATAGCTAGCAATCCTCCTCGAATATGCAAGGTGATTCCGCGCCGTCGTCCTGCGGTTTTGGGCTTTCGTCCAGCAGGATTTCTTCCTGATCTAAAAGATTATCATGGATATGAGGTTATTCATAACAAGTTTCTACGTTCCGCCAGGGGTCGTGCGGCATTGTTAGGTGGAGGCATAGTTGCTCGATTAGCTCGCGAAATTGTCGATAAAAATGATGTCTATGATGGACCTACCGTACATGCTCTGCAAGAGAGAGAACATGCACTTTGTGTGTGGGAAGTGGGCCGAGGTCGTGCATTTTGGGATGACCAATTAACGAGCGAAGAAACGGACCTCATATGTGGTACATACGAGGTTGCTACAGGTATGTGTGTACCTTTCTTTGCATCTGCCTCTGATTCCTTTGTTTAGGCATTGTCTCGAAGGAAGGTATACAACAAACTGCAACACGGTCCTGGTGGCCCCATCCGAACTCTTGGAAAACATGTGGACTTAATTGTGGATATTGGTTGAAAGATGCCGAAAATTGGTTTCAAAAGCGAATGACCAATATTCACAATGCTACAGAGCCTGTAGTTTTGATGACTCCTCAAGAATGATATACGCACCTGAAGTTTCAAAGGGCGTACACACTTTCGAACAAGAACGATCTACTCGCAGTCCAATATCTCACGAAAGAATGCAACTTGCCGATCTGATGGGGAGCAATAATGAAATCTATCTGTACGACTATGTATTATTCTGATCGATGCTATAAAGTAGCATAATGCTCATCTTCATTTGACGTGAACTTTACACACTGAAAAGGCATCGATATTTATGGTATGGTAATTTCGAAACATTGCCTAGTAAGCTACTAACTCTCCGACAATGGGAATCACTTGCAAAACAAATGACACGCATGTAAAGGACCCTACGAAGACGATAGAATCCACTGCGACTTGAGGAATTTCGAACTTTTGAGGGAAATGAGTAAAACAAGTAATCACTCTGGTGTAACACCCACCTTATGAACCACTCTGAGTTGGGCTTGCTTTGGGAGATGGTATTGGATGAGAAGAAACAATAAAACACTGAGAGTCAAATTTCCAGCAGAAACAGTGAGGGGTTGGCTCCGAAACATTGCATAAATCTTTTGGAGCACTCTGATTAGGAAGAGCAGGTACATCAGAGCACCCGCCTTGAATAGAACTTGGGAGAGTTGAAGATGATCTATCTACTCGATGGAACATTAGCCTATGAAACAAATGCATGGTAATCATACACTCACAACCATGTTTTGAAATGGTTCATGTTTTGGGCATCCTGACTCCTCCAAATGACATTCTGACCCCTCAGAAGGATGACCTGATCCCTGCAAAGGATAAGCTGAGTTCTCAAAAGATGCCTACGTTGTAATTACCAAATCTACGTATGGAATATATATATAAACTCACATTTGTCTTGGAAGTATCGCGGTTGTCCATTGTTTGTCCTGGTAGAGAGGCGGCTGAGTTCTGCAAGGGAAAATTGTCAGATATGTAACTTTTATTCACAAAATGCATGCGCCCACAGCTCTCCTCATCGGAATATCAGTGGTCAACAGTGAAGACGCTTTCACTGGAATATCTTCGATGGCACTCATGATATGCTCTGTAGTCTTTGCATGGTAGATCAGCATCATCGAAGATCTATGCAAATTAGCTGCTCACCATCTGCCTAGATAGAGCTTCAGGTTTCGACGACATGGTCGCATTATCCGTGGACTCGGGTATCTGACTATCACGTATGATGGGTTTCGAAGTAGTGGCTGGTTCCTATGAACGCGAATATATATCATACTGACGGTGACACGCCTAAATTTTGGCTAGACATCTATGCTGTGAATTGTGACATTTTTACGTATAGATTTGTATCAAGAGGACTGTAATTGAGACCCAGATTGACAGTCAAAGTCAATACTGAATCAGTCTAATAAGTTGAAGGGACCATATACCCATACTACCACAAGTTGGTCAGTTTACCCATCCCCGATACTACCTACGGATAGCAGTCTACCTGTTCGTCAAGCAGGATTATACCAGACTCGGACTACATCCGAAGGATGACCATTCACGTATGACATACCAAGGGTATTCTTATTGGACCTTACACTGGCAGGAGTTTGGAAGAACTTACTCAAGTGACCATGAACCGAGGATTGACTCGAAATGACTTTCTAGAACTCAGGAATTATCAAATACTCCTTCTAGAACGAGATCATGCATTAACCTAAAAGACTGCGGTTTAGTCTAATAGACCAATCAAGTTGCATGGTTGAGGAAAATGACTAGAAGAACGATCGAAGTACTGCGAGGCTCCGAAGGCATATCAAATGAATGTCAAAGAGTCCTGACGTAGAAAATATTGAAGAATACAATTAAATGAATACTATGCGTAACTCCCTTGATAGAGTATAGGCACAATGGGTGTCTATTGAAAGAGAGAAGCAATTAGTTTAATCCAGATGAATCAGATTGATAGGATTAGAATCGAGGAGAGCTGATTTGCCTCCGGACGAGGTGACAAACGATCGAAGTAAGTGTTGGACCGCAATGACAGTTGAACACCATTCGAGTCATCCTCCAAAACAATTAAATTAAATGAATATTGAAGTACCTACCTATGTTTGGAGATATACTAGAATCTTGGAACCAATATGGACCAAATAAGGGCATGTAGATTCAAATTAAATGGTATCTGACTGAGTGTAGAAGTTTCCTTGCGGTTCCGAACGTTTATTGTATTAAATTAATTGTACTATGCGACTCTATATTCTGTATGTATAAATAGCGATCCGATGTATCTGGAATACAAGTGATTTTGGGACGACGTTGCAGTGCTAATCCGTAAAAAGGAAAGACACACTCCCGCCAGACTGAAACCTCTTCGCTAGCAGCCATTCGGGCCCGGCACTTGTGAGTATAGGAACGTCGTGTTCTGCTCCTTGTGACTGCGAGAAGTCTATCCAGTTGTTGGGTATTCTTCGAACTTAGGATCAGTCGTTGGTCTTAAGGGCAAATCACGCTGTGTGGTTGTGCCAGCACATAGTTCTAGCCCTCTGTAGGGGTCTGTGTGTTTCGGTTTTAATTTACTTTGATTCAAAACCCCAATTCTTGATATACCCAAATCAATACAAACCAAAGCACAAAGCGTGCTGAATCTACCTTGATCAAAGGAATATATCGAATCCTTAGAACGATTCAAATTGATTGATCGAAGCTTCGTACTTAGCTCTCAAAGCTTTGCGGAACCTTTGCCAACGCTACCCTAGCTTGGTAACCAAGCCCTCTACGAAAAATCAAAAGATTTGATTAAAGTTCGCCCGTGGGGCGGAACCTCGTTAGAGGGCTTGGAATATCTGAGTTTAAATTGGCGGGAACTGCGTTATCATTTGTAGAATCTTCTAGAATGCTTATTAATAGCCTTTTTTGGTAACTTACTTTCGGAGATATTCCATTCGGGGGAACGGCCACGTGATTACGCTGTAAACGAACGACGTTGCTTATTTTTGATCTCTTGCTAAAATACCTCCATGTTCTTGCATCCTCTACCCTAATGGTGTCTAATATTGCACTTACAGTCTTTACTCCTGAACTCTCTGTTCCAGAACTCTCTTTTTGGTTTGCCTACCAGACAGATTCAGCTGTCAAATCCTGGCTTAATTCTGCCTCCTTCTCGCAACTTAACTACCTTTTAAAACAGTTTCCACACATCTATCCGAGCCTTCCCCTCATTTTTCTTGATACTTTGGATGCAGGAGCTCATGCACAGTGCCTCCGATACATTTTTATGTGCTGGAAAGTGACAAACTGCAAACAAATTCCACATGAACTCCAGTTGAAGATTGCTCTTGCTGGTTCAAAGGGTAATGATGCTTTTGTTGTAGCTGGTACTGGCAGTGGTAAAACACTAGCTTCAGTCCTAAACCAACTACTTGTGGAATCAGATGAAGTCACTGTGATGCTCTCTCCATTGAAGAGGTTACAGCTATCTCATGTAGGTTGTAACTTCAATATACATAATATCTATTCTGCGCTTAAATTATTCAAGGTTGAAAGCATTCAAGCTCTGTATTCCATTGAAACAGTTGCTATTAATGAAGATACCACTAATGACAATATATTCTGGGAGGTAAGTCATTTTTTGGTGAGTTTCACAATCCTGTTATTACCAATTTTTGTTCTTATAGGAGAAGGTTCATGATTTCCTGAACAAGCAACCAGGATCTGCACGACTATTTTTGGTAACACCTGAGCAGTGTTGGCGGAATTCTGCAGGTCATTTAACTAGATGGGGACATATGATTCGTCAACATCAGTTCAAGAAGCGTGTACGCTACCTGATTATTGATGAATCACATTCGATCCCTACCCAAGGCATTGCACAGTATGGACTTCCTGCATTCCGCCCTGCTTATGGGCGCCTTGATGAGCTACGTGTTCTCCTTGGTCCACATATAGTGTCTGTGGCACTTACTGCAACTGCTCCACCTCATATGTGTAAAGTCATTTGTGCAAAAGCACTCCGTCCTAATCATACTTCCATAATCACATCATCCAATCGGGCCAACACTATTTATGCCACTCATACAGTCATTGGTAGCATTGACAACCTCGAAAACTACAAATGTTTCATTCAGCAGCCTTTCGATCTTTCACTTCAGCCTCGTATTCTCATATTTCGAGAGCATATGGCTGCAACAGTTGACCTTGCTCAATATCTCACAAGCTGTCTTCCTCCTGAGTATCACCATCTTGGCATTATCAAGCATTACCATAGTGGGATGTCACCTACCTATCTCAAAGAGACTCATTATGAGTTTGCTAGAGCAGGTGGATCATGTCGTATCCTTGTAGCAACTTCTGCTGAGTCAACAGTTAGTTATTCTTTTTATTATTGTCCTTATAACTTATGCTAAACTCATTGGACAAGGGGATTGATCATAGGGGAATAAATATAGTCTGTGTTGCAGGCTTGTCAAAGACTACTGCTCTGTTATTACAGGAATATGGCCGTGTCATGAGGCAGCTTGGATGTTTTGGTCTTGCTGTTTTATTCTCAGAACAGTGGGTGCTTGATCTAGATCCTGAAGACTTCACTACCTGGGATTGTGAGGATCTTGACCGTCCCTGTGGCTATTTGAAACAGAATGCATCTGCCAAAGATCGTGCTCCCTTTTCACTTGTTGTTCTGGTTCAAACATCCATGTGTTTACGATTATTTTTTGCCACTTATCTTGGTGATGCATCTCCTGAAGGTAAGTTCTATATTCTCAAACTTTTACTTATACTTATTTCTAGTAGCATGTAACTATTCTGGTCCATTCTGTTGTGACCGACATCCTGGCAGTGGATTCACCTTACAGGCTTTTCTTCCTGGTCCACTGCTTACTGTTTCCGAGTCTGATGTTCCTTCAGCCGAAACTTCAGAAAAGCGAAAACACAAATCGGTTCGACCCTTGGCACAACGCAAAGCTCTCTATAGGACACTTCAGGAATGGCTGGAGAATGCTCATTGCAATGATCGATTATCAGCAATACGTCCCCGCTATTACATTCTGTCAGATGCAAATATCAAAACTCTTGCTAATGCAAAGGTTGGTGAACTCCAGTGTCACTCTGATGTCACCAATCGGATTGCGCAAACAGCAGAATGGGGTGTTAAATGGGCCACCAGCATTTCTCAAGTTATTGTGGACTTCGATAGTGCTATATTAGCCTCTCAGCACAGTGCTGCAAAGCGTGCTCACAAAAAGGCAAAAATTGGGGAGTCTTCATATCCTTCTGCTGAATTCATTGTTGACAGTGATGTTGATGATGATATAATGGAAGCATTTCTCCAAGATGAAAAGAGTAGTCGAAAAACCCAAGCTGATCTTCGCCGGGTTTTGCAAATCAAAACAAATTTTATTTAATTCTTCTAGTATATATTACATATGGTACTAAAAAGTTAGTTATCAAAACCTTCATCTAATTCATTATTGAATTCCATTACTGGCAGCATATCTTTTTCTTCCTCAAATGGCATACCTTCAATGAATGCCCTTATACGTTTATTGAATGTAGAAAGTGAAGAGGAAGCCAGCTGAGCATGTCCTTTAGCATGAAGGTCAGTTAATGGTTTGCAATTCAGATTTCCTTCACGATCAGGATTGATAGTTAGGATATCATACTCTGCTGCATGTTCCACTATTCTCCATACAAGCATTGTTGTATTTATTTCCTTTGATGTTTTGTTCTTGTATGATGTTTCCAAACTCCTTCCCACTTGATCTTTCAAAATCTGAATCTCCTTCAAACATGCAGACAGATGCCCAAATTTTTCCCAATCAGAATGTATTCCTTTGGCTGTAGCCAGTCTCTTGATTTCCTTGATTAAGTGTTCAATATTTGTATCAATTCCCATAAAATGACCATCTATTCCAGAAACATTGATAAGCATGTTGTCACGCATAATATTGGCAAATGCAGGAGTCCACATATTTTTGACTCGGTGTATCCAATGTAGTATTTCAGTAGAGTAGTTATTTGATCCAGCCCCTCTAAATATCCGGAGCATATCAGGAAACAAATCTTCAATCCGACCAAAATCTCCTGCCGATGTTGCCTGCACAATTTCTCGTACATATAGGAGATCACGGATAAGGAGTTGTACATTGCGCAACACTGGGTCAAATTCAGGTGAAACACTATCAGAGTCATTACTA